TTTTTACACATTGAGGATGATTGCTAGTCCCAAGCATCGTCTATTGGTTCTCTGTGTAATTACAGCTGGTATGGCAATAACAGAGTAGCAACCGTGGGCGGTCAATCATGCTCATGCTCATGCTCATTGGCGACCGCCGAAAATGATAGGGTAGGGTGGGGCAAGAGTGCCACCCCCTATCATTTTGAAAGTAAACATGTTTTCAATGCTAATTCACCCATGTAACTATGCATGGTGTTCCTATGCAGCATTATAGAAAGTTCAGTCCAAAATGAAGTAGGGGAATTTACGTATTCTCGGCAACCTAAGCAGCGACCGTCTTTCTATAGCCTTTTTCTCTAAGGAACGCACACATATGCAGTATTGGTTTATTTACAATCTTTTGCTGCCAGCTGCTTTAACAATTTCAGTCGAAAGAATTATCAAAAACTGTTTTGAAACGCTTTTACAATGCTCCAATCTTCTCTAGTGAGAGCGACTATTGTGGGCAACCTCTTTTTATTCGGCAACCTTTCTATTTGAGCTGCGTGTTAAACAGCTGTGTTTTCATCGGCAACTCGAAATCAGCAGCATTTTGTAGTGCGTGTGTTTCATTTCAAGAAAACCCTGTTAGATTGCTTTTTCTCAGTGGTAAACATATAATCAAATTGAAGCTGAAAGCCTAATGAATAGTTTTAATACATTCAGCGAAGTGTTTTCTTAAGAAAATCAAGTGAAATTACCGTTTCAATTTGGGTTGCCGAAAATAGTCTGTCATGCCGAAGCCGTCATTTCCCCTATTACAAAAATGCAAAAAATCAATTTGTGCTGATGTGTCAAAAATCGAAATTACTTTTAATAATTAAATTGTAATTGTAATTGTTCAGTGCATAGGCTGTGCCTTCCGCTAAGAAGGATTATCTAGGGACCAACCCCCTAGTCTATACACCTACTGTCCTTCCCGTTGCACTCGTCAGCTCGTGCGATACTCTAGACACACATGGGTGGTCGTATCCGGGTCCTCCCCTGGGTAGGCTCGTGTCCGTCCAGGTTCTGGTACATTAACTTATCTATATGCATGGTAATTATACTTTTAAAACTCACCTTTTGATTATAATGTCGAAAATGCTGAAACTAAATAAAGGTTAGCGATCCATATAAGGTGTGTGCTGCGACGGAGTAGTAATTGAAGGAAATGAGGTTCTGATGTGAAGTATAGGTAATTCTAAAATAGGTAAATCAATTAATCATTAGCTGCTAACAGTTACTAATAAATGGGTACGATAAATCACTCATCAATGAGTATTGCCACTCCCACTGACAAATGGGCAAAACCTTAATCATAAATAGATATTCGATTCCTACCGTGTATTTAAAGTAAAGTTAGGATCTTATCAAGCAAGCACACACCTTTTACGATTCTTATCCTACTTACGGTTTCCTTCACATACGACTTTTCCTAGATACAAGCTTCGTCCAGTATACATTGGCTGTCTCCAACCGGCATGATCCTTTCTGTCTGCTTCCTCTTGCCGGTGCAAGTTTAATTCTTCTTTTCTTGTTCGAATTTTCTTTTTCTTTTATTGATCTTCTGGTCGTGTTCCCATTTGTCCTCAGGCAGTTAATATTAGTACATGATAGGAAGAAAGAAAGAAATAGAACAAGTTAAGTGTGAGCCGCATGCATTGGTTACTTATTTGGGTCATGGTGTTGTCTTCCCTATTTATTTGCCTCTATTCGCTCTCATATCGTAACGTTTAACTCTGGATCAACAATAGAAAAGGGCCCATCAGCACTCGCAAACAAACCGCTCCAAAGCCCCCCACTCACAAAGCGAAGGCCACCCACGCAAACCAACACCATCATCGGATAGGGGAAACTTCCACCTACACGAAGATGGTGTTGGCCTGCGTGAGCAGCCTCCGATCTGTGAGGAATGGGCTTTGGACGGTCTGCCCACAAATGCCGATAGGCCCCCCTCCATTGTTGATCCAGAACTCACCCCCTTCCCTCACACTATTATGGTCGGAAAATAGTACCCATATTTAGTAATCTATCGCGAACTGCGATGCAGAAGATATTAATAGCAAACTAATCTGGAGCTGGTCTAAGACATATGACCCAGTGAGTATTGACACCTCACACTGTTGTGAATGAGCACGGACGCGAGATTTACTAGAGTATTAAATGCAAAACGCAAATTCAAAATAAAACTTGACAAGTCATCGTCAATCCCCTTATTCTTGGGCAGGGTCTGACGATGTGAATCTGATTTTTGATCAGTGAACGGGCCCCATATGGTACATTTTCTCACTATGAACATGTCATTTCCAGCCTATCTGAACTATTTAATAAATGGAAACCATAACATGGGTTTCGCTTCCCCTAAGCGGGCCCTCCGCATCCTATCTCTGTCTTATCTCAAATGCCAATGGCTTAAATGTATCAATGTATACATTGGAAATGACGTTCAATCAAATAAACCCATACCCCACTCACTTGGCCAGGCTTCAGAATCGTCCAGTGGGCAGTGCGCTCTACACTCCAAGTTCCCTTTCTTTCAAATTCACCCCAAATTTGGTATTTTACCCCTTTGAGTGTTGATTAATCACAATGAAACATTGTGACAGAGCACGGACTTGAGGTTACTAGAGTATTAAATAATCTAGGTCCTATTTAGGATTATATCTAAAAAATCCAAATTTGGCCAACGCCCACCCGAAATTACTTTTAATAATTAAAATAGAAAATTCCTTAATCCTTATTTTATGATGCCTTAAAATAAGGATGTTGGAATTTTCTATTTTCCTGTTTCCTGCAATTCCTGCATTGAGGCATCACTAATAATGATTAATTGAAATCAAAAATAATTTTCTTAAAAATGAACCTTAGTCGGGGCAAGTGTGTCACCCCTATATTTATGAATAAAATTATTCAAAAATGTAAAAGAAATTCTTCATTGCCCATTTAAGTCTTCGGTAAGTTTGTTTTCACCAAATTTGACAAACTTACCTTACCAATCAGGCTGTCCGAAGAAGTCGTCTCCACTAGACTCGACCCATGGCCAGCCAGCCTCGTAGTCTGCGAAGGGTCCGCAGGTCGCCTTCTACTTGGTTGATCCACCATTTTCACTAGGTCGTCTTCCGGCATTCTTACGACGTGCCCAGCCCACCGTACAGTGTGGACGATGAGTGGTTCTCCCAGTAGCTGGTACATTTCGTCGTTTATTCGCTTCTTCCACGTTTTTTCATCCATCTGCACTCCACCGTAGATGGTTCGCAACACCTTCCGTTCGAAAACACCAAGGGCGCGTTGGTCCTCCACGAGCATAGCCCAGGTCTTGTGACCGTAGGCGACCAGGACCACCGTCTTCAGCGTCTTGTAGATAGTCAACTTCGTGCGGCGCCGAATTTTATTCGACCGGAGCGTCCTCCGGAGTCCAAAGTAGGCACGATTCCCTGCCATCATGTGTGTTTGAGTTTCTCTGCTGGTATCATTTTCGGCGGTCACCAGTGAGCCCAAATACACCGCCCAATTTGACAAAACCAGCTACATAAAATATCAACAACAAAGGTTTTCATTTGATTTCATTGGTAAACATAGTTCATTTGTTATGTATTGAATAATACTATAAAATCCAACAGTTAAATTGATTAAACAATAACAGCTACTGCTAGCATGATTAATAATCAAAAGGATGTATTTATAAACAAGCATTAATCAATTTCACTCAATTTAAGACGCATGGCCCTTTTGTCCCATAGAGGTTGTCGCTCTTGCCCCATTGCAGTTTCAAAAAAAGATTTATAATTTGCATTACATTGCTGATGAATGAAGCCAATAATATGAAGTTGCAATACGTTGTAGAAACTCCTAAAAAAATCCACTATTTGGCATATATGGAACGTACAACTGTTAAGGTGGCACCCTTCCCGAGCAAAGCTGAAGATCAAATTGAAATCAAAATTTGCTGTTATGATGTAACTTATTTTGAATATTCCAGTTGATCTCATTTTGGTTGACTTAACGGTTAACACAGCAAAAATGAGAGCAACATTTTACACTGTTGAAGCAAACGGAAAACTAATCCTGCTTTCAATGAAATCAATTTGTTTACTGATTTTGCATTCATAATATTCAACTGAATACGGGCCTGGAGTAAATGGTTACCATTCATGTTTCTCAAGCTAAAAGACTTGGGCTCCAATCTCACCCCGGGCAAGTCACGAATGACCTAAAATGTGTTAAACAAATCAAATAAACAATAATCATTAGTTCAACGACAGATGAATTTCAATTAAATTTTAAACAAGACGTAAACAGCAGAACTTCAAGTTAGGTTGCTTTCATTTAAAAAGTCATGATTGCATAATGAAAGCACAATATGATATCAGACTTATGTCGCAACATTTGAAATCAAAATGAGTTTTCATTATGATAGCAACTGCACACTTTAATATCGATTTGCTTTCATTTTGTTAACCGACTTTGCTCGGGTTTCCCCTCCTTACCATACCAGCAGAGAAATTCAAATACGCTAGTTGACTATCTACAAGACGCTGATTGGACCGGTGGTCCTCTATATACGGCTGGGCTGAAACATTCATTTCATAGTGAATGCTGGTGATTTTTTCAACCATGCTCTACGGCCACGAGACCTGGACTATGCTAGTGGAGGACCAACGCACCCCTTTTTTACATACTAGAATGTCATCAAAATTAAAGGCATCTTAAAAAAATGTACGTTTAGTAGATTTGCCTGGCTGAGTTAAATCGAAATCCAAAAATCTGGAAAACTCAGAAAATTTCATATTTTTAGTTTTTGATTTTTAAAACGAAAAATATTTAAAAAATGTCCACGGTAGATTTTTTTCAAACAGGTCACAAATGAAAGCTTAGGGGATCCAGTTTAAATTGTGAAGGATTCACCGTGTGAGGCAAAGGCTTCCGTGAACCATTTCCGTAAAGCACCTTCAAACGAATCGTTCTTTCACTCTACTCCCACATCAAACAATCTCAGCTTACGTATTATTATTTATTTACCTTAGTTTCCATATTTGCTGTAGTATTAATCATTATCAATTACTGGAACTAATCAATAATCTTAATATTAGCGCAAAACAGTTTCCTCCCGTCGCGCCAGTTTTGCGGCTTCTGTTCCAAATTATGCATTTTTATTCTTCATCCTTCCTCTTTACGATTAATAAATATAGGACTTTTGTTGTGTTTCCATGATTTTTAATATTTTTTTCCTCTTATATTTCACCGTATAACCTCTATTATTTTCATCGGAGTTCGTATGCCTGCCATGTTCTTACCTTTCTTCTGTTTAGGTTTTTTTTTTCTCGGTAGTTTAATTTAATATAATATATGAAAAAGCTATCTACGATTTTAAAGACTCTTGCGTCCGTGTCGACTCACCCGGGGGCGCGCGATCTCTTTTATTCTCCTTCTTCTCTCAGTTGACGGGTGATTCGTTTAGTCGTTTTGCTTTGTGTAACTTGAAGATTTTGATTTTTTCGTTTCGGAAAAGAAAAGTTTTGTAGGTAATTTTAAGTTAATAGTAGACTTGTGTGGAAAACGGACTCGTATAAGCTCGCGCAAGAGCTCGAAAAGTGCAGTTTGGCTGTTTTTTGTTTGTTTGTTGTTGTTGTTGCTGAAATATTGGTTTCATAAGTCACGCATGGAATTCGGAATTTTACCGGAATTAATTTCCTTCTAATACGACAAAGAGTATTATGTTGTTCCGCATTTGTTGCTTGCTTTGCTTGACTTCTTCGTTTCTTTCTTGAGTATATTGTTCCTTTCGGGGGGTTTGCATTAAAATGCACGCTTTTCTGTTTCCTTTGTTTGTAATAGTAATAGGTAAGATTTCTTGCTTGTTTCATCTATAATGTTTTCTCTTCTCAACTATCAGAGCAAAATGAAAGTTTCTAATAGTCGAATATAAAGCGTGTGTAAGATTTAGTGTTATGCGGTAGACTAAAGTGTATATTTTCGATAGAAATGTGATTGTATTCAACTATATTATATTTATACGTTTGGGAATAAAGGTAAAACGAACTCTTCGAGGGTTCCGAAAGTAAATTCCAATCGATGAAGTTGATATATTTACACTCGAAGCAAACATTAAATTGCAGCTAACAGGAATAAAAAGGAAAAACAGACAAGAGTGTTTGGTTTGTTTCTGTTGCGTCGGATAACAGTCAAATATTTCAAAATTAGCACATTGACGGCTACTGAGATGTGGCGGCCATCTTATTAAGGAAAATCGGAACAGTCAACTTAACAAGCTTTTGCTTTTTCTCTCTCTCTCTTTCACTCCTTCTCATTGTGTACATTAGTAATTATCTGAGAGGTGTGAATTCATTTCATGCAGTTCCTCCCATGTGGGACTTAATTAGAACAAGATAAGATTCGATAATATAAATGAATAAATCGCACATTCGCTAGCCGGTATGAGTATAAATTGGATGACATTCCCTCGAAATTCTTCCCTCCCTATACTTGAATGATGTGATTTGTTTAAAAACTATCCAAGCGACTGTTTTTTTTTTTAAACCCTAGCCTTTACTAGCATAAAATAGTACAAATATGCATTTTTGTTTATCTATCGTAGCGCGGCTTAGCGGAATAGACGTTCTCTTTCACTTGTGTATCCACCTAGAGTAGTAATGCACAAAAACATACGACTGCCTGCGACAACTATATACGGAATAAAGATTTTATATTTAAAATTTAAATGTGTGAATTACAAGTCGATTTATTTGCATTGTTCTCATTCTTATTCGTTTTCAATTTACGGTTTGCAGCCCCATAACCCGCAGCTTCTTGTTTATACAAAACGCATTCTTACACGATGGTTTAAAAAATATGAGAGAAAAAAGGTTTTTCACAGAAAAACCCGTTATTTCGTTTTTTACATCATCTCTTTTTAAACTACACTAAGGACTTTCCTTTGACTATATTTACACAACATTTACACATCAAGCAGCTTTCTTCACGGCTGCAGCACTCTCCAACGCATTTTCGCAGACAAATCAGAACCAATGGAAAATAAACATGCCTCCATACATCAGATATTATAGCTGGCTTAGCTTCAAATGTGTATATTTTTTCTTTACAAACAAAAACAAGGGAAACATCAATAGAAACTTTTTTTGTACTTTTTCTTTATAATTGTCTCTTCAACCATGGCCATCAATGAGTTTGTTTACTTTTAAATTTTGTATTTCTCTTACCTGTCCTGAACCTTGTCGCAGAGAGAAACATGCAATCGCTCTCTTGCTTAGATCTTCATGAAAAATCGCTCTCACAAAATGCCATTGGTGAAGTACTGGTAGCTGTCGTACAGTTTGGTCGTGTAGGAATTGAGCGAATCCTGCACCAGCTGTTCGACCTTGCGCTCCAGCTCCTGCTCGGTCAGGTTGATGTGGAACCGATTGCGCAGATTCCGGACCGTTCCGGAGCAGCCATTCTTGAAGCACGGTAGTTGGGAGCCTGCTCGAAACGGAAAGGGGACTTTTGAGCTAAAATCAATTTAAAAATGTCGGAGTAGAAGGCACTCACTGCTTCTCATAATCTCCACAATGTTGATGACCCGATCCATATGCTTCCGGGCGGCTTTAAGTCCTTCCAGCAACAGATGTTTGAACTCCAGCCACAACTCCGACGCAGGACCGCCCATCACGTCGACAAACTCCGGTGTCAGCTTAAAAGGGGATTGCTCAAAACCTGCAAGGAATCGAAACCGTTAGAGTTGTCAAACTGCAAATTATCCCACCGGAAGCAACTTACCTAAATTTTTGGGAGATATGCTGAGGATGAACCCAAAGTCGATGTGAATCAGATGGCCATCGGAATGGAGAAGGATGTTGCCGTTGTGACTGTTCGGAAGATCGTTCAAAAGGTAAATCAGTCAACAATTTCTCATTAAAAGCAACAAAACAACTCACCGATCCTTAACCTGCAGCAGGTAGGAAATCAAGCAGTACGCCGCACAGGACTGCATAAAGTTGCGCTGGGCCGTTCGGAAGCACTCCGAGTCCTCACCGCCACCGTACTCGTCGGCGAAGTAGTCGCTGAGACTCTTGTTGGAATTTTTCTTGATCTGGTGCAGCGACACGGTGTTCAGGATCGGTTCGATCAGGCCGGAATCGTTCGACAGACAGACGATCTTGTACGGTCGCACCCAGAGGTCTACGTTTTCCTCCTTCCAAACGAGTTGGAACATCTGTGCGGGGAAAGATAAGCGATTAGAACAGATTGCATAATTTCTAGGATTCATGGAAAAGCTCCCAATGTCCGAGATGTCTGAAGAGTTTACTCAGCTTGAAGCCCAGTAGGTCACCGAATGCTCATCAAAAATAGATATGCACAGAGACTGTACAGACCTAAATATGCAAGGAACATCCAGTGGTCAGTCAGAGAGATTTAGGAAATTATTAGAGAAAGTTCTGACCATGGATGAGTTTTAAAAATCTGTGTTGGAAAATATCCACCGTTGGGTGAAAAAAATAATAAAAATTATAGAGAATACATCCAATAAGTCCTCGTGGACTGTCAAGGGTGACTCAAAAACCTTTTTGAAACAGGCTTGAGGCGAGTGTAATGTCCATGGACGATTGTCTACGCGAGGGGAGAATGGTCTCTCAAAAGCTATCTACGTAGTTAATGAACAACCCCTAATTGATGACTGCGGTATTTGGAGACCACACAATTGGATCCCGAACGCTGAGAGGCCAATCCGGGTCAATCATCAGTAGAGAAATAGAAGCAAAAATAGAAATTCGATCCTATCTCAGGTGGCAGTTTCACACCAAATGACGAATCGGAAAAATTCGGCTTCTCCAATTTGCATAATTGTGTGTTATGGACACACTTTCAGCCACTGGCTGGTTCGTCACTTAAAAGGGATAGAGGGCTTCGGAGAGCGGCCCCCCTGACTGTAAAGGGTACAATTGTGTTGGACAGAGTTATAATAACGGAGTTGGTTTTGTTGGCAGATATTCAGGTAACTTGCGGTGTGTCTAGTAGTTGGTCCTTGTCATAATCCGTTGTCGTCGCGTGGTCTTGTGTCCGATTATTGTGGTGATTTTGCTTTTATGTGTAGTAGTTTTCCGTGTTCAGTTCCATTGTTGTCGCTGTGCGTAATTTTGTGCCTTCATCCGTCCATTTTCGTGTCCTTATCAGGGCTCTACAATTTCGAAGCTCTAAAATGAACTCGTGTTTTGTTTCTCTCATACATACGTGTTCGACACTTCATTTCTATAACGCCTAGCTAGGCTATCAGCAAGAAACGAAAATAAAAAAGCAGGACGCTTAGAAGGAAAGGCTGGCTGTGGAACTTCTCGTCGTTGCTTTGCTCATCGCTTTCAATGTAACTAACGTCGATTTTCTAGTTAAACGAAGCTCATTATGGCTTTCAATCCCCTTTCACGAACACTCTATCACCGCTCTTTCAATTTGTTTAAAATGCGTTATGTCCCGTTTTCGATCATTTAGATAAATATATGGATGGAAGATAAATTAAAAATATGACGTGTAATCTTCAAGTGTTTTGACGTGAGAAATGCTTTAAATGTGTTATTTCATTTTCCGTCATATACGTCATGAAACCTCTGTTGATGTGTTTCATGAAAGAGAAAACTATCAAAGTCGAGCGCCCTTTCGCTCATCCGTTTCGACGAAGCTTGAAAGGAAGACCAATGGAGCGACGGGAGAAAGAGAGACAAGCGATTGAACATTTATTTGTGCACGCCGACTGAGGTTCTAGAATACTGCGAAGCGGTGCGACTTTAACAGAAAAAGAAAGCCAGCAGTCTCTTCGTCGCATCGATTTGGTCGATTGAAGCTGACATTGTGACGCCCTGGTCCTTATTCGTGCATCATCTTAATAAATATAGTCGCTCGTCCGTTTTGAGTCAGTGGTTTTTGCCAATAGTAGTTCAATCCTTTGTCCGTTGTCGTTGCTTGGGTCAATATTGGGTCATATATCAAATTTGGTTGATCAATCCTGTCTCCCGCAGAAATGAGAAGAGCGCTGTGGTGCTAGAGGGGTCATATTTCAGGGTGTCCTTGACGCTTGCTGAGATCCCGTATTGGATGCGTGGTCCATAGTACTGGGGACAGTTGCATAGGAAATGTTCCACTGTATGTGGCACATTGCAAGTCTCGCATTGCTTCCTAAATGGACCTCCGTCTCCCATGTTATGAGAGGCTTTGGTATGACCGGTTCTCAGCCGCGATAAAATTACTTGAAATCGGTGTTCAGGCGGATCATCCCATCTTCTGGTATCCCCTTTAATTTTCCGGATAAACAGATCTTGAGCCATTCATTTGTCCAGCAATTCCATACTGTAGTCACGATCCACCGCTTGATGTCTTGAGCAGGGACCTTTTTGGTATAGAGGTTTGCCTGTCTTCCGGATGCCGCCAGATGATCCGCTTCCTCATTTCCTTTGATCCCGCAGTGTCCTGGGATCCAGATGAAAGTTGTTCCTTTATGAGCGAGCTTCTGGATAGCCTGGATCCAAGGGTGCTTGGCTGTATCGGACTGAAGAGCTGTTAATACGCTGGCTGAGTCAGAAAATATGGCGACAGGTTTGTTGGTAGGCGAGGTGGCGGCTACTAGTATTGCGGCAGCTTCAGCAGAGAAAACGCTGCAAGGGTCCGGAAGTCGGTAGAAGGTGCGTAGCTCCGGATCGGATATCCCAATGCCTACCCTTCCGCCTGTTCGAGATCCGTCAGTGTATCTTGCTAGGTGATTTGGGTACTTGGTTCGTTGTAGTTCGGCCACCGATCTCACTAGTGCGGGGGAGTTGGTTCCCGCCCGGAATCTGTTCTTTATCGCCAAGTATATAGAAAGCCGGGTGAGTTCCAACCCCTGGCTCCACACCAGTGGACCCTGGCTACCGGGGGGAGTTCCAGGTCGGCGGCGTCCTTCAGGAGTTTGTTCGCCTCCATAAGGAGGGACACTCCATCACTTGTTGCAGTTGTCTTCTCTGCGAAGCCAACTGCCCTCTTGCAAACGGTAGCAACGATAAATTTGTCGAAGGGTAACCTTCCACTTTCCACACAAGCTGCAAGCCTGGGGGTGGAGGGGAGGAGACCTGATGTGATTCGAATGGCCTGATAATATACCGGAGACAGTTGGGAAATCATCCTGTCGGCAGCTAGGCAAGTCAGTTCTATTCCGTATGTTAATCTTGAATCGATTACCGCTTTAGTCACGCGCATCCGGACAGCACGGTTGTTCGCTAGATGCCTCCTGGCTAATGTCCGCAGCAAGCCGATTCTTGTTTGGCAATTCCCTTTCACTTCGTTGAAATGGTCTCCAAAGTTTAAATGCCGATCCAGGCGTATGCCGAGGACGCGGATAGACTTCTTAAACGGCATTATCCTTCCGTCGACGCTGATAGGAGAGCGGAGCACCTGGTGATTGAACGGATTTAGTCCAGCGTAGAACTGCATTCGGGGCCGCGTTGAGTTTTCTGCGAAGGGCCTTCACTGTGGATCCGACCGCCACCAAGACGATATCGTCTGCATACACTTTTTTCTTTTCCTTTATTTAACGTCGGTCTCTGTTCCGCAATCTAGTGCCAATCACCGACGGACATCGATTGCCATCCATTGACAGCAATCGAATGTGCAGGAAGGCAGCTTCCACACCTGCGTAGGATATCGCACCCATTCAACACACATACATGGGGCGAGACCAACGGCTTTACTTCCCTTCCGAAGGAAGACGTGACCAGAGATTTTTATGCCTCAGAAAAATCCCACCGACCTCGGCTGGGATTGAACCCAGACCCATTGGGGTGAGAAAGCAGTCACGCTTACCACTACACCACCGGCGCCGGCAGTCTGCATACACGAAGATGTATATTTCTTTGGGTAAGCTGTGGAACACTCCGTTCATCCGTATTAAAAACAGCGTGACTGCGATCACCGAACCTTGCGGAACGCCAGTCTCCTCTGGGAATCCTCTTGATCTATGGTTTCCAATGCATACCTTGAAAGGACGGTGTCGGAGGAAGATCTTCAAAAAATGGAGAACGTGGCCCGACAGACCCCAGTCCGTGAGTTGAGCAAGAATGTCGGGTGTCCATGTCCTGTTATAAGCCTTAGAGATGTCTAGCGTAGCGAGTTCAGCATGCTGGTCAGAATCTCTCGCGTCTCGAAGTACCTGGTTCAAAGTGGCGAAGTAGATCCCGGCTCCGTGTCCAGGACGGAAAGCGTGCTGGCGGTGGTCAATGTAGCCGTTACTCTCCAAGTAGAGCACGAGTCTACGGTTGACCATTCTCTCCAGCACCTTACTGACGCAACATGTCAAAGATATCGGTCGGAAGTCCTTCGGTTCGCGACCCGAGGTGCCCTGCTTCGGGATCGGAACGACTAGGCTGTGTCTCCAGTGTTCTGGAATGGAATTATCCAGCCATTCTCTATTGAGAAGTGTGAGGAGTGTGGTCTTGCATTCCGGTGATAGGTATTTTAGCATGGGGTACCCGACGTCATCTGGGTCGGTCGATTTCCCGGTAGCCTTGAATAGAGCTAGGTCGAGTTCCCGTGGACTGAAAGGCCGATTAATCTCCAGCGGTAGTTCATCCTCTGGGATGTAGATGCTGTCCAAAGAGTGCGTCGAAAGGTTTTTAACACGACGAAAGCGATCATCGTACCCGTCAATGGCCGAGAGAGAGGCAAAATATTCCCCCATAGCGTGGGCGATCTTATCAGGGTCTCTAGTGGTGGTACCATCTACCCGGATGGCCATTCCGCGGCTTTTTCGTTTGCCACTTAATGCGTTGACCTTAACCCACAGGTCAGTGGCCTGTGGGCAAATTTACATTTTTGCAACAAATCGGCCATTTTGCATATTGTATTATTTTTTTTCAAAATGGCGTCTGTCACTTTTCCATGATTTTGTTGCACGAAAATGTCACTTCTGATCGAAATGATACAATTATACAAATAACACAATTATTGAAAATCGGCCAGGAACTGAGAATCATCATCTTGGAACCAGATTTAAATATTTGTTGGAAAGAACCTACCACCATAAGTTCGTTCCTTCTACCTGTCTTTGTAATTTATTGAGAGTTTTCTATGCCAACCAATGCATTAATTAGTATATTTTGTGGGGAACACAATGATATATGTAAATTTCCAACCCGAACGGCTATCGGACAAAATTGCCAACCCTGACTATACTATCTGAAGTCTAAATCTAAATCATATCGGTAGCTAAACTTACCTCCAACAGCTGCGTAGCCATCAGCTCCTGCCGCAGGTCGTCACCGCACTTGACGATCGCCGAAAGTAACCTCCAGTTCTGCAGGTGACCGTAGGGAGAACTCTCCTTGATTTGCCTTTCCTTCTCGTGCCAAGGCTCCTGCGGAAATTCATTGTGTTAGCAACACCACCACGCTCTGAATCCAACTTCGACTTACCTTCAAAACGGCAGCCGACGGATCCTCCGGATCGTTACTAAATGGCCTCGTACTCTCCGAGCTCAGATTGGCACAGTGACGGTTTCTAACCTCCCCGATGTTGAACATAGCCGGAGTTGCTGGAATCAGAAAAAAATAGTAAATTAATATCAAACTTTCCGCCCCGAAATACTGCACAATTATACTAACATTGCTCCCGCGAATCGTACGAATCCATGGAAAACTGCGAAATGGTGTCCCGCTCCGAGAGGCTCTTGTGCAGATTCAAATACTGTGCCGTGATCTCGTCGTCCTCCTGGGACCACACGTCGTCCTCGGTGAACCCAAAGTCGTACATGCCCAGTCCGGACGACGACGGATATGGATATCCGGTGACGACGCTCGGTGACGACAGGTCCCCGGCCGAGCATTCCGACATCTTCGACACCCGTAGCTTCGGTAGTATTTGACCACTGGTAGTCGAAGCAGTCGCAGCAGGAATGTTTGATTCGGACGAGGCGTTCGGTTGGGCTCCGCTGTCCAGCCGTTCCTCGCTCTTGGTGTGCCTTAGGGTGGGCATCATTTTCGGAATAACTGGCGAGGTGTAGATGTCATTCACTTCGATGACTTCTACGTAGATGATGTAGGGGGTCTTGTCCTTGGAGTTCAGCACGGCGGTTTTCTCCTCCGTTATCCGTACGATGTGATGCGGTGTTTCGGAGTGCAGTGGAAGCCATACTCGAGCTGGAAGATTTTTGTTGATCAAGTTCAGCAGTATCCGCAGGCGGGAAGTTTTCTCGATTTTTGTTTGCAGAGAGGTTAGCATTCGGCCGATGTCGATGAGAGATTTCATGAATTCCCTTTCCGGAGTCAGCTTGGGAGCACCACAGGAACAGATGGTTTGCTGACCGAGGAGATCGTTGACCGTGCCTCGAACGGATTCGAAGCACACGCAGCCATTGTCGAAAGCTCGTCCACTACTGAGATCTCCGAGGCATAGCGGCTTGGCGAGAGATGGGTAGAGTTTGGGGTTCATGGAAAGCGACCCCATTAGACCGGTAGCGTCCGATTGCGATCGATGGTGGGTCTTTTTGGTTGTGTCGACTGCGGGAACGGGTTCCACTGCTCTGAGGTGTTGTTTCCGCTCCCGTTTGGGATAGAGTTCCTTCAACAGGGTCAAATGTTTCCGGATCGAGTTTCCGTTATTGCTCAGCATGCCCATGTTGAAGTTGTAGGCTTCCAGTAGCCAAACGCATTTCAGCGAGAAGTCTACGGACCTTCGACACCGATAGACCAGGTACGGATCGAGGACTTCCGAAAGCTCTTCGATTTGCATGTACATTACAATCAGCTGCGGGATGTAGAGGTCGACTTCGATATCGGGGAAACTGAAAATTTTGTTACCGATAAAACTGAGGACGCCCGGTTCTTTCGAATAGAACAGGTAGTGGACGGCAAAGTGGATATTGAAGACCGGTGACTCAAAGAACCTCAACAGGCCGCTTTGGCCACGTTCGGCTTTGATTTGGGGCTCGATGATTTCCTTTGGGTTTATACAGGTAGCGACCGCAACTCCCGGCACTTTTAACGAACTAGTGGACGATGATTTTGAAAGACTCTTGACCTCCGCTTCCGGGGAAAGTTGCGGTTCTGGACTCAATGTATTGTTGGAACTGCTCGCGGCAGTGCTACTACTGTTCGCTGCAGCATTGCTATTACTATCCGATTTCCTCATTCTCGATCGTAGAACTCCGAATTCTCGCTTTTTGGAAATCTCCGTGGGGGATTTCACTTTTTCTTCATCCTTTTCTTTGTTCTTCGCACTCTTCTTCTCGTGATTATCGATGATGCTCTGGGCTGTTCTAAAAATGGCATTCTTTGTAGCGCCGAAAAAATTTCGGAAGATGATCTCGTTCTTTTGGTCACTCTTTTGGCTAGTAGTACTTGGCACAGGATTTGCTGGAACTGTTTCCTTCGATTCCACCACTGGCGTCGTTGCTTCTCCATCTGCTCCAACGATGATGGATTTGCTTTCACACACAATTGGAGTGACTGCGTCCACTTCGTCTTCCCCGGTTGCCGGTTCCACCGTCGAATCATTTTCCGCCATCGGCGTCGGTGATGCTGGTCCATCCTCATAGTCAATCGGAACGCAAATCGTCTCCAGCATGATGGCAACCCGGTTGATGTTTTGCTCCCGATAGCGAATCTTTTCGCTAACGTTCGTATGGTCCGTGGAAGACGACGATCCACTACTGTCGACCGATTTCGCACTCCGACTATCTCGGGTGTTTCCTCCGATCGTACTGCTGCTAGTGCTCTGGCCATCGCCCCCGCCGGACGACAGCGTCAACGGGTAGAAGCACAGATCCGATTGGAGCATCCGGTACTCCTCGTCCATCGAGGTGGTTTCCAGGATTTCGATACATTCCTCCTCGGAGGGATCAATTTCGCCCGAATCGAGACTTTCCCGGGAACGCCGGATCCGCGTCAACGAGGTGTGGTCCGGTTCCGATCCGCAAATGATGCCTGTAGGAAAATTTAATGATGGGTATAGGGCTCATATGGACTGCCGTTGGTGGCTTAGGGTGCTCTTAGATTCATAGTCCTACGGACCTTCAACTGAATTTTCCTTGGAAGAATTCCAAGGTTATTTAAGAAATATTTTTGTACGCAAACAAAAAGGGCAAATAGTTCAATTGTAAGTATGGATTTCTTGTATCCTATAATAATTATCATTTGTGCGAGAAATGAAACGGAGTGTAACGTATAAGCATTTTGTTCAGCATCAATATTTAGGTCCGATAATAAGAGGTGAAAATTAACTTAATTCATAGAGTAGCTAATATTAACCAAATCAATTTTATTGAAAAGTCTTCCGACGTCACAGAATCTGAAAACCGGTGGTTTATTGCGGATTCTGTATATCTTTTATACAAATCAAAGATAATCTTACATTCTTCGGCTAGGTGTTTAATTTTTTCTTCAATAACCTGGAAGTACAATCAAAGCCATCTGAAATCGATTTGAAAGACACCCTGATCAGTTGAAGTTCTTGGTTTCCTATGGAAATTCTTCATACTTTTTTTGAATGATATCTGAAGTTTATCTAGAAGACTCTTAAGCGCTCTTTACAACTCCAAAGGAAGTCGATTAATTTCGCTAAATAGGGGAAATGTTGGCTTCGGCAAAACCTTAACCTATTATCGTCAGGGGGTTAAACAAAGTCCAAGAGCACTCAAATTTGGCCAATAGTTGCTCTGAAACACAATGTATCCACATGCCAAAATTGACGAAGATCCTAAGCTTATCCAGAAACTTCTAAACGTAATTAGATTCGACAAGGTTCTCAAGAGCTGTTTTTGTTTTGGATTTGGAGCATGGAAGAACAAGCTTATCTTTTAAACAACACTGAAAATGGAACTAACTTAAAGAGTGAGTCAGTTCTAGATAGAGCTGGAATTAGGGCGTAACAGCTGTTGTAAACAATGACTTCTCTTGATGATTTCTAGACATTCAAGGCTCTCCCACGCAAACCAACATCATCATCGGGTAGGGAAAGATTTTCCCTATCCGATGGTTATATTGGTCTGCGTGGGCGTGCCTTGCATCCCTAGAAATCATCGGTAGAAGTAATTGTTTACAAAAGCTGTTACGCCCTAATTCCAGCTCCTTCTAGAGTTGTGAATCCCTTTTACTCATTCGTATGGAGAAATAACCAAAAGTGTAGGTGACTCAGCACATGAGTAACCTACGCTTTTATGAATTTCTCCATACGAATGAGTAAAAGTGACTCACTCTTTGAGTAAGATTCGTTTGCAGTGTAGTTTGCTTTCGAAACATCGTCGCAGAACTCACTAACGGCATCTCGTGAGTTAACTGGCTTGCTAATATTTAATTATGCAAGAAATGAATCGTCTAAAATATATATTCGATCTTCAACATACAAACTCAAAAATTGCGTTAATTACTAGGTATTTGATCATCGCCGACATTTTAACCCTGTAATAGGACCTTCCAAAGGGCTCGATTCAACTGACAACGAGTCAAGTTGAGCTTGTAAATTATGAAGCAGTCGATTTAAAAATAGTTACGTCTGATTATCTAGTTCCTGAAGCCACCCGCCGTTGATCATGAGATTCCCAAACTTACCGGAATCGTCCGATCCTAGGCTGGTCAGATCTTCCCTCTTTTTACTATCGTTCTCCTTTCCACCGTGGGAGTCATTGTCCACCTTTCCTGTCCTCGACCCTGGCACTGAAACAATTCAATCAAACCATTATCCAGTGCTCCGCGTACGCGCAAGCTATCATACACCTACCAAGCGCAGATCCAGCTCCGCTTCCGTCCAATCCGGCCCCACTGCTAGTACTACTGCTTCGACTACTGCTGGTCCCATCCCCGGCACAGGCATCATCGGAACCGATCCCGTTCCCATTGTTGTTGCTGCTACTTTTACTATTACTACTACAACCGATCCCCCGTGTAATGGCCGGTGTATTGGTCGGGTTCGTCGAAGAGGATTGGATGATTTTTGTGCACATCGTCGTTCCGAGGATGGAATTCGTACACAAGGTATTCTCCGATTCGGCACTTGGCGACGATACCTCCACCTGCAAAAGGATAATACGTCACATGATTCAATGGTTGTTGGATTTGAAATTCAAAACCCTACCTCTGGTATCCGTTGGAGGGCACTATCCAAGCTTCGATTCCTGTGGTGCTGGGTCATGTTTATTCGAGTATTGGTCACCTGTGACACTGGAGGTAATAGGATTCCCATTGATCTGCGGATGGAAAAGGAGAGCATGGAAGAAACACAGTATTAGAGCAAGGCTGATTGTGAAAGGTTATAATCTGGAAAGGAAACTACATTTGAACAAGTTCGATTCTTTGATGTCATCTGCCCAGAGGCACTGCAGCACAATGGAAACCAAATCCTTTTTATGCACACAAAACTCATTTTCTCCTTCTCGTTGCCGTTGAGGCGTGGGTTGATACGATGTACTACTACTACTGCTACTACCCACGCAGGACGAAAACAGAAACCCAACAACAGAGCAACGGATAGAGCAATGATGCGTACTAGCACCAGATATCGCATATCAATCAACGTAATCCCTCTCAGAAACTCTACTTTCCAGCCGACACAAATCCTAAGGGATGATGGCAACAAGTTCCAGATGAAAGAAGGATACTGAGAAATTCTTGCGATAACCACAATGCCGAATCAGTGCCCCTGCACCCCGCAACCCGCAACTCTCACCTCACCATAAAAGTCTAAGAAAAGTAAGTTCGTTTCGGTTGTCTCTTGTTTGTCAAAACGCTGATGGTAAACCGCGTAGCTCTTGTAGAGAGAAGTTGATAAGCCTACAACAGCCCGTTTTCGCTTTCAACAACGACGACGACGACGACCACACACCTCTCTGGCACAGTAGCATGAATTCTGATGCTTCCCTTGGTGACGACGGGTGGCAACGAACGGGGTTGGGAAAGGTCCTCATAAAAGTTTAAGAGTCTCAGTTGTTTAACTTTACGATCAACGATGACGCGGAATTGGCGACGTGGACCGTTCCTCACAGTATTGAATGCTACCATGGAATTAAGTGAAATGCTGAAAATTGATGCGAGATACAGAGAGCAAATTGGGGTCTCTCTTAGCTCAGTCGGTAAAGGCGCAGCTACAAAGCAAGACCATGCTGGAGGTGGCAGGGTTCGATTCCCGGTTCGGTCTAGGAATTTTTCAGGTTGGGAAATTTGTCGACTTCCCTGGGCATATAGTATGATTGCACTTGCCACACAATTAGACTAATGCAAAAATTGTAAAGGCATCGAAAGCTCTCAATTAACAACTGTGGAAGTGCATTCAGAACACTAAGTTGAGAGCACCCAATAAGCTAATATGCCTTAAACAATAAGCTTGAAATGTGAAGAAGAAGAAGAAGAAGACAGGGAGCAAATGGGAGCTTGAGTTAAATGTTTGGAGTCATTGAGTCCCGTTTTAGATTTCTATAGGATTTTGAGAGAAGATATTGAAAAAAGCAGCTACATACAAATCCTATTCAGTCCATTATCAATTATGCTACGGGTACATGTAAAGGATCGACATATTTGGCTAAATATCATGCAGACCATCGAAACAGTATTGAAATCTTGGACATAGATTTTGACCTGAAACATACAAAAATCAAGACCAGAGACGTTGGTAGGCAAGAAGTAAATTTCTCAGATTTTCCTAAATACAATATAGGGGAAATGGCTCTAATGTTGGCCTATGCATCTAAGATTTGGCCCATCGCTAAAAATCTGCTATTTATCAATTTTATCTAGATCTCGTTGGAACGGTACTAATCGAAAGTTTTGGTTGCTATTGAAAATTTAGTCTCCGCAATACGTTGTAGACAATTCACTGTAATTCAACTAGATAAGGCACAGTGAGAGTCCGATCTTACCAACACGTTTCCAATGTCTTCAATTTAGTCAAGCTTCTTGATTCATGTTCCATCAGAAGTACAGTACTGGACAAAATAAATCATACGCTCAACCCAAAAAAAGTACATTACATCATATTTTTGCTATTTTGCACGCAATTTTAGAAGTATATTCAGAAAAGTTCATGTATTTCTCATGGTGCATTCAATTAGCTGAATGAAAATTGTTATAATATTCTGCTATTTTTATTACAAATTTAAATAAATATTTGTATGCTCACTTTTGTGGTTGGACAAAATAAATCATACACTCCTATAAGATTTTATTTTTTTAGCCATCGAATAAAAACAAAATCTGAAGATTTGGCATCACGGTGTAATATTTGACAGTTCTTGTTCCGGGAAGCGTGCGCATCGCACCATTGTGTTTTGTTTGCGTCATTTGAAAAGTGAAAAATGTCGGGAAAGCAGATTTCGCTCGATTCTAGAAATTTGGTGATTCGCAATCGTGAAAAAGGAATTTCTTTTCGGAAAATTGCCGAAAAGTACTCGATCTCAGTTGGAGCTGTTCAGCACATATGGAAAAAGTACGAAACACGAGGAATTGTGAGGAATTTATCCGGACAAGGACGTCATCGTGCGACAAGTAATCGTGATGACATGTTCGAATGGCTGAACAGAATCCGAAGTATTCGTCGAGGCATATTGTGGAATCGATGGATCTCAATGTAAGTCGACGTACTGTTCGCCGGCTACTTAATGAGAGTGGTTTGAAAACCTGTTTGCATCGAAGCGTCCTTTTATCAACAAGCGGAACCAACGGAAGCGACTGGAATTTGCTAAAAACAATAGGTTTTGACCTCCTGAACAACTTTGTCGAAGAAAGTAACTTTCTATCTGGTCAGGGATCTCGAAACAAACCACATGCGAGAATGTATACTAGCTCCAAGTAGTGAGACAATTTTGAACTACTTTTCACTAGCAAAAAAGTTATGACCACTTGAACAACTTTGTCGACGAAAGTAACTTTCTATCTGATCAGAATCTCGAGATATTTTATATGCGAGAATTTCGCGTGTATACTAATGCCACGTAGTGTGAAAATTCTGAACTACATTGACCTCACGAACAACTTTTTCGAATACAGTAATTTTCTACCTCTTTAGGATTTCTAGTTATAGAATTGTTCACGTTTACTAGCGCCACGTGGTGAGGAAATTTTGGGCTACTGTCCACCAGCCAAAAAGTCTTGACCCCCTGAACAAGTTTGTCCAAGACAGTAACTTTCTATCTGCTCAGGATCTCGAGAAATTGTTTTTTTTTTTTTTTTTTTTTGGTTTGTTTTCCGTCGATCTTGTTTTCCGTGCTGAGCACCAATGCTACCGACGCCAGGAAGGCAGCTACCACACCTGGACCCTACCTATCGACCCATCAACTCATGAACCGGGGACCAACGGCTTTACTTCCCTTCCGAAGGAAGGCGTGATCAGAGATGTTATGCCTCAGAACATCCCGGCGGCGCCGACTGGGATTGAACCCAGGCCTGCTGGGGTGAGAGGTAATCACGCTTACCACTACACCACCGGCGCCGCTCTCGAGAAATTGTATATACGAGAATCGCATGTGTATATTAGCACCGCGTAGTGATAAAATTCTGAACAACTGTCCACCAACAAAAAGATCTTGACTTCCTGAACAACTTTGCCACAGACATTTACTCTCCATCTGGTCAGGATCTAGTGATGTATCACATGCGAGAACTTAACATGTATACGAGCGCTACCTAGTGAGAAGATTCTGAATTACTGTTCACCAGCGAAAAGTTTATGATCTCCTGAACAACTTTGCCCAAGACAGTAACTTTCTATCTGGTCAGGGTCTCAAGATATTAAATATGAGAATTTCACGTGTACACTAGCGCCGCGTAGTGAGAAAATTCCGAACTACTGTTCACCAACCAAAAAGTCTTGAACCCCTGAACAAGTTTGTCGAAGACAGTAACTTTCTATGTGTTCAGGATCGCGAACTATTGTATATGCGAAAATTGCACGTATATACTAGCGCCACGTAGTGAGAATTTTCGGAACTTCTCTACACCAGCGAAAAGTTTATAACCTCTAGAACAACTGTACCGAAGACAGTAACTTTCTATCTGGTCAGGATCTCGAGATTTTCCATGTTGTAACCAATTAAATCAAATCCCACATAGTACGAACACCGTTTACGCGGTTTCCATTCACATTTTCGCTATTATCTGCATTTTTGGGGGTTAACTGTGATAAGCAAGGAATCCAAAATATCTCCAAATGACAAAATGACAAGCGATCAACGAACCGAATGATAACGCTATGTCAGAGGTGGAAAGCAATAATGATATAATCTTCTTCCTTTTTTTTAATGACAAGCAGTCCGTGAGACACCGCTCACTCAGGGCGGTAGAAGGAAACGAGCAAATTTTTGGCAAGCTGCTTCACGAAGTAAAGCCGAAGATGATACACGTGTGTTAATGGGAATATTTTTGTTATGTCTTTTCTCGATTCAGATCAAGCTGTGTCCTAATCCATGCATATTGCAACAAAGCAGGCAAGCAATATATCATTGTCCTTCTACCGCTCCGATCGAGTTGTGTTAAAGAGCGAGTTTGTCATGGTAGTCGTAGCAACCGTTTTGTCTGTATCGTTGGTTGCTTTATGTGTTTGGATTCGCTGGTGATAAGAGTTGAGCTTGTTTAGTTAAAAACAAGTTTTTTAAGGAATACCCGTTGGTTTCATATCGATTGGTAGCTCGGCTGCAAAATGACAATAGAAAGCTCACACTGTTGTGCAAAGTACAACGCGCGAGTACTCGCGTTACAAAAGTTGGCGCGAGTAACGGAGGGTTAACAATAACCATTAGAAGAGCCTAACCACCAATTCGGGATATCATCCCAACTTTATGTGTTTATTTGGGTCTATCTGCGGATATTCCATTTCCATGTCTAACAGCCTGGCTCATGTTCCCAGGAAGGGTTCGATAAGCTGAACCGCTTAGTCGTCGAAACCAAACTCCTCACGAAGTTTTTGGTGCCCCTTAGTGTGCTTCACACAGTTGAAGGCCAGGGAAAAGTTCACAGAACCACAAAAGTTGTTATCGAAGTTGTTGTAAATATCATGCACAACCTTCGTCATTGCAGTTGTGGTACTATGGAGTGCTCTGTAACCGGACTGATGTTTGACGAGAAGATGAGGGTTGGTTGCTTATAGGAAGTCTGTGATCTGGACACGTAGAATCTTCTCCAGAACCATCGAGATTGCCGGTAGGACGCTGATGAGCCTAAAATCTTTCGGTTCGAATGCGTTGGATGTTTTAGGCAGTGG